GTGTGTGTGTGTGTACATATAAACATATATATGTATATATACATATATATATATATATACATATATTTATATATATGCATATATATATATATATATTAATATATTATACATATTAATATATGTACATATGTTTATATCTACACACATACATATATATGTATGTATAACTATATATATGTATATATATACATATATATATATATATATATATAACCCTAAAACATTTACATATATACATACATACATATATGCATATATATATATGTGTGTGTGGGGGGGGGGGGGGTGTGAGTGTGTGTATGTGTATAAAATTGATACACATGTGTTTCAGTATATTATTCATATCCAAATGTCTATCCCATTTTCATATATATGAATTTGCATATCTATATATATACATAAATATACGTACATTTATATATATATATATATATATCTGTAACTATATATATGTATATATTATGTATATTATATATATATATATATATATATATCGATGTATATATGTACATATGCATATATATATATATATATATTTATATATATAGTATATATACATATATATCTATATATTTATGTATGTGTGTGTGTTTGTGTTTGTGTGCGTATGTATATGTGTGTTTGTGTGTGTGTGTGTGTGTGTGTGTGTGCATGTGTGTGTGTTTATTTATCATCCGCAGCTGCGTGTTCACTACCTTTCCTACCTTGCACATGTATACCTCGTCGGCTATGCTGATATTTTGTGTCTACGTACGAGTTGATATAAGGTCACTGTTACCTAACCTCATAGATGCTGGATATGAAAGTGTTAATTTTCTTGATATGACGAACATTTTTTTTGCTCACCCGAACATTCTTGTACGGTGTATCGTTGTGGAATAACCAGGGCCGATGTCGTAAACAGGATCAGTTGGGTGTCGGAAATCTGCCAGAGATAGTCCAGTCGTTGCGCTCGTGCCGTGCGTCCTTAATCGACGCTGAATTTGCGACGGCATTTGATCGAATATACGACATCAACCAACGACAGGTGAGCTATGGTCTGAATGTATAGGTTTGGCTGCGATATCTTTCCTGGACATCACCTGACTGTAATGTTATGGAGGTATAGTATATATAACCTATTCACAGCATCCACCAAGGCACTTAGTGTGTGTATGACTGCTTCGTGCAATTTCCCGATACTCAAATGACGTGTTCTCAGGGGGCAACAGTATTCGACCCGCATTTCCCAGTGTCTCGTTCCGAACTGTTTGCGCATGGTACGTAGAAAATTACACAAGAATCAGATGTAGAGTGTGTTGGTTAATGCCACAGGTTCATAGTTACACAAGAATCAGATGTAGAGTGTGTAAGTTAATGCCACAGATTCATAATTACACAAGAATCAGATGTAGAGTGTGTTGGTTAATGCCACAGGTTCATAATTGCACAAGAATCAGATATAGAGAGTGCTGGTTAATGCCACAAGTTCATAATTACACAAGAATCAGATGTAGAGTGTGCTGGTTAATGCCACAGGTTCATAATTACACAAGAATCAGATGTAGAGTGTGTTGGTTGGTGCCACAGGTTCTTAAGTCTGGGGTAATCCATTTCTCGAAAGTCAATTGGTGGTGTGTGCCTGTCTTAGTTTTACATATACTGTTGCATACACAAATTACACAGGCATCTGCAGTTTACCATTACGTTTTAGGTACATATATACATATATTTGGCATAGATCTTATCATAACGTATCATAACGGATTGAGAACACAGTACTGCTGCATACACGAATTACACGGGCATCTGCAGTTTTGCCAGCGCGTTTTAGGTACATACATATGTATACTAGGCATATGTTTGTATATAATGGACTGAGAACAGATCTTGATGTGTTGTGGTATGTAGATCATGATATTGTAGGTTCTAATATATCACTGGCAGTGACCAGACCACAGACTGCTCCTAACTGATAGCGACGCATTTGCCTTTCACAATCAGGGCGGGGTTGACATTCCCGAAACGTTCGCTCCAAAAGTTCTGAAATGGCTGGGTGGCAATCAGGTAAAAAGGGTGAAAAACTTTGTTTTGGCGTAAGAATTGGTTTTTATGTAGCTTTCGGACCTGAAATGAATTATGTTCTTTGGTGTGGGAGTGGTATTGCTCTGGTCGCATGCTTTCCTTTCTCTGCGTATTTGGAGATGGATTATTTATTTGTCGCATGAAATAGGTACATCGCGAAGGCCCTAAATAGGGCGGGGGTTTGGCCGCGAATTGCCCTTGAAAATGTAAGATGTTTCTCAGTTGTGAGTGGGATATCTCCTTCTTCTTTTTTCGGCCTTGTTAATGTACATATGAATTGCTGTTCCTATATTCCGCTTCAATGCAATTGTGTATATAAACGTCACCTGTGACAGGTTCTTGCTTCGCATGGCGCGTTAGTATAGGCCACCGAGCTACGCAATGATGTGCCAGTACTTTGTTAGGATGATGTCTGATTATGGGGGGGAGGGGGGTGTTCACAATACACTTCGAAGCAATTTGTATTTGCATCAGAGGGTGATGGCATTCCTATATGCATATGTGATTGTTAAGTTAGTTAATACGGCCGTAGATCATCTGATGAGCAATGATCAAACGCTTCACCCGAAAAAAACCCCGAAAAAATGAATAATACGACTGCCCTTACAGGAATACTACAAACAAGTGAAAGTCCAAACCATCACGTCCGTCTTCAACAAATGGAGCCACGAAAACACAAGTAAGTGTGTGCATATCAGCCTCACTACAGTCTCACTTAATAAAGGTGTTTTTGTATCTGGCAGCGGTAGCTGTACAAGAAACGCCCATGCATAGACGAATGTGCATATAAACATGCATACACATACATACACATGCACATGCACATATAAACATACATACACATACAAACACATATACAGCCCATTTTGCAACCGGGATTTCTGCATAACCATTTGTGTACATTTAAAAATAACTACTGGCTGAGTTTATGTTTACATACAAACGCATATATAGTACACTCATATAATATATATATATACAGATTCGTACAAACGCATATATAGTATACATACATAGTTTACGTACCAATGCATATATAGTACACACATGGGTTATTTTATGTCTGTATCTTCCACTGACCATTCCATCCCCTGTCTTGGCAGTTTACAATCCGCTCAGAGCTCTACGGCCGGGCGCAAACGACGGAGAAGACGTCCTCGAATATATCAATACACTAACAGTATGTCACATATCAATAAACTAGCAGTATGTGCAGGCTCAGGCGCATTCGTGTGCGGTTATATAGCACATATTTATATTACTGGATATGATAAGCAAGTGCATGAACACTATAAGCAAGTACATGCTATATATGTTATGTACAGGATCACTCGAATAGTGTGGGGGCGTATTACACATACTACTGGATGTTATAAGTAAGTGCATGGACATTATTGGCAGGTACATGCTATATATGTTATGTACATGGACGCTATAAGCAAGTACATGCTATATATGTAATGTACAGGATCACTCGAATAGTGTGGGGGCGTATTACACATACTACTGGATGTTATAAGTAAGTGCATGGACATTATTGGCAGGTACATGGACACTATTAGCAAGCACATGCTATATCTGTACTACATTCTGCAGTGGGTGAAAGGGAAGGGGGCGTTGCACGTTGAGATCCGTGATAAAAATAGTGTAGGGTTTAAGGTTTAAAAAATGGGTTGTACTTCACACATATATATCACATACACCCACACACATATATATCACATACACCCACACACATATATATCACATACACCCACACACATATATATCACATACACCCACACATATATATATATATATATATATATACATATATCACATACACCCACATATATATATATATATATATATTTATATATCACATACACCCACATATATATATATATTTCACATACACATACACATACACATTCAAATATGCATACACACACATTCTCTTAGCGCGCACCCCCCCCCCCCCCCTACCAAACACACACAGGCGGAAACCAAAGCCGATGGGTGTGACTTCTGCAGCCCTGATGCCATGACCGCAGGTGACGTATGGCCAGAACATCATCTGCACAGCACACACGCTACCACCAGCAGCAATGTATTTAAATACGACGCATACCACGGACTGGTGATTGCGAAGGAACACGATCCGCTCAAGCTCAACCGAATTGCGTTTACGGATATGTTAACGACGGCCCGGACGTGGTTCCAAGTGTATGTAGGTGTGTTTGTGTGGATGTAGGTGTGTTTGTGTGTGTATGTAGGTGTGTTTGTGTGGATGTAGGTTTGTTGTGTGAATGTAGGTGTGTTTGTGTGTGTGTTTGTGTATATGTAGGTGTGTTTGTGTGGATGTAGGTGTGTTTGTGTACATGTAGGTGTGTTTGTGTGGATGTAGGTGTGTTTGTGTGTATATAGGTGTGTTTGTGTGTTTGTGCTTGGTTTTCTTGAGTGACACAGGGACTTACGTTCGTCTTTGTATAGTTTCATTCATGTTGGGTATGTGTGTGAGTCCACTTGAATGCTATAATAAGGTGGTGATCGCCCAGTTAGTATGATCACCCACACATAGCTTCATATACATATGCTCCAACGTTGCCATGTATATATATATATGTGTGTGTGTGTGTATGGATGTATATATGTATATATATGAATATGTATATATATATATATGTATATATACATATTTCTACCTATATCTATATATTGTATATATATATGTGTGTGTGTGTGTGTGTGATTGTGCGTGCGTCTGTGTGTCTGTGTGTATGTATATATATATCCATATATGTATGTATGTATGTATATATATATATATGTATATATATATATATATATATATATATAGCATATAGACACGTGGTAAACAGGTGCCACAGTACATACTCTTAGTTCAAGCATCCTCGTTTGATGTGTGATCTGCTAGTCAAAGCCTCACTCACCTCTATAGGCGAATGTGTTTATTTGTGATTGTGTATTTGCCTGCACCTCGCTGCACAGATAAGCATACAACTACACTTACGTAAACGGTCCACGGGTGTCTCTATACAGATTCGCTAAAAACCCAGTACCGTGTCTAGCTAAACTCGCATACGCAATAGAACAAACACACCTTATAGTATATCCACATGGCATGCAGGTGTCACACCACAGACTCACAGCTCAAGTACCACAGTACCTACACTCCCATACGCAATCAAACAAACACACATTATAGCATATCCCCATGGCATGCAGGTGTCACTCCACAGACTCGCAGTTCAAGTATCCTCATCTGATGTGGGATCTGCTTCCGAAGGCATCGGCCAGCCAACTCCACCCCCACGCGCAAGTATCACTAACACCCGACCGCTACTATGGTGCAGCAGAGGACATGCGCCAGGCTGCTGTGAGTTGTCTGTTACTACTGTGAATTTCGTGCTAATTGCGGCCGTTAACGTTGTTATATCAGTTTGCGATTTAGTTGTAATTGAGATCATAATTGCAGTTTTAATATATATATATATATATATATATACATACTATATTGTATTGTATTGTATTGTATTGTATTATATTATTTTATTATTTTATTATATATATATATATATGTGTGTGTGTGTGTATGTATATGTATATATATATATGTATGTATGTATGTATGTATGTATATATTGTCTGTGTCT